AGTGGGCACCCACTGTTGATTCCTATGGTGGCCGCAGCCCGTCAAGCGAACAGACGTGTAATCAATGTGACCGTGGCGCAAGCTCGAAAACATTGGCAGTAATCAATTTGCGGTGTTTACTCAAGCACGTATCAAACATACACTGTGGCAACCCGCCTTGTTTCTGCCGATTACCCCCGAACCTCATTTTTGCATTAATGGCGAGCACTAATAATGGCTGTTCTTGTTTGTGACCTTCAAGTGCCACGGTTCAGACTTCTTCATGCCGCCAGTTCCCCTTCTCGCACACAATAGTTTTGAGCCACCTTCTGAAATCAATTGCGCTGGGGATGTCAGTTTACAGTGTGCAACGGATGTGGCGTTCTACATGACACGCACGCGGCGGAACAAAGTATACATTGAGGCTTGGCGATGGCAGCTTCTTCACCTTGTGCAAACGTATGTTGACGCATGATTGCTTCACGATTGATTCACATCCCCGCCCCCATTGGGAACCAGCCATGCCCAGTGAGAATCGGTTGCGTTTGTGAGTGTGTTTTCGTGAAAATGTCCAGTGATTGCTAGCGCCCGAGTGTCCGTCTAACGCTCTCCCAATATACAGCGGCATGCGCATCTCCTACCAGCAGGAACACACAATTTGTTGATCTGTCTTGTTTGGCTTAATGGTCATCGTAGGCTTGCACAGAGTGGTGAATTGCCAGACACAGCACACCCAGATACCACAGCGACAGAGGAGATGCGGTTTCTGTTCTTGCTCCGTTTATCTGCGAAGGCAAAGACGAACCATTGTTAATTAAGACAAGAACATCCGAGTGTGCCATGCCTGTATGTTCTGTCCGAGTGCCACGTCAGCGTGCTCAGTCGGCGAAGCCAGTGTTGATTCAGCGGAGTGCCCGGGCATGTGTGTCTTGCACAGTATCTCTGCGGCGCCCTGTGTGCAGCGAGCGCTGAGTGGAGCGTCGTCTCCTGGTGCCCCTCCGCAGCGAGCGGCCCCGGGAGGACCTCATCGAGGAGTGGCGGCAGCGGGACGAGATGCTGCAGCGGGCGCAGGAGGAGCCGGATGCCTGAGTAGGCCCCGAGGCCGTGCTGGCAGCCGCCGCCGCGCCGGCGGCGAGGAGAGGCGCATGAGGGCGCCCGCGCGGGGGGGGGGCGAACACCGGCGCGCAGTCGAGGCGACCTCTTCGGGGGCGTCGGGGGCGGCAAAGAGGAGGGTGAGGACTGGGGGCGGGCGTATGACACGGCCTCGGAGGAGGAAAGGGAATCCATATTTCTGTCGTTCCCTCGTTTTCGCCCTCTTGGGCCTCCTGGGAGGCCCTCGTCGCCACGGCTGGGTTCGCCTCGACATGCTGGTCAGAGCGCACCCGGGAGAGGCCCTGGGAGCAGCGGTATCGGTACCTTGCTGCCCCCCTAGGGGGCGCGTGGATGACACGGCCGAGGCCGGGAGACCTCCCGAGTCTCATGCCCCCCTCTTCTGCTTTCGACGCCTTCCCTGGCCTGCGCCCGCGCACACGTGCCTCAGGCCAGGATGCGCCGCCCCCCCCGGCCCCACCCCCCGTTTCTTGAGGCGACGAGGCCGCACGCGCGCTGTGCACCTCCCATTTCCCGCCGGAGGGGGAGCTGGGAAGCCCTCTCTCCGGCGGCGGCGGAGGCTGCCACAGTGTGCCAGCCGCCGGGGGAGTGCCTTTCCTCGGCCCCCTCCCATGCCCCTCCCGGTGCTCGTTTCGATGCCGCCGATTCGCTTCGATTGGATTCCGATGGCTTCCGATGCCGACGCGATCCGATTTCAGAGTCCGATCTGGATCTGGTTTCTCGACGGAGGCCTGCCAGCCTGCCGAGTTCCGCCGACTCGACTCCTCCCGACGTGGCTGCCGATGTCTCCCTGGAATCCGCGCGGACCTCCCCCGAGTTCCGACTCTGCTAAGACATATGCGCCATCGTGAACAATCGCGACCCGAGCCCTGGACCCCATCATCCTGCGGCATTTCTCGGGGGCGAAGTAAGGACGTATGCGTACATGAATTCACGCTGGTTCCGAGAGTGCGCATTGCCCGAGTCTTCGTATCACGCGGCCAGTGTCGCGGATCGAGGGGCCGTGCTCATGTACATAGCTGGGCGCGTACGTCCTTCGTGGGCTCCCTAATCTCTGAGCCGCATCGGTGCGTACGGTTAAGTCGGACCTGTCCCCCTACAGGGGGATTTTCGACGAAAACTAAAAAAACTACCCCAACAATATTCCCAAAATAGTCCAAACATTGTTTGGGAGCTATTTTTTGAGCATATGTTTTGCCTTTTTGGGGTATTGTTTGGGTATTTTGGTATTGTTCGTAGAAAATCCCCCTGTAGGGGGACACGCCCGACATAAACATAGCTGGGCGCGTACGTCCTTTGTGGGCTCCCTAATCTCTGAGCCGCATCGATGCGTGCGGTGCTCCCGGGGCCCCAAGCTGGGCGAAAGCGCCGCCGACCCGCTTCACTTCGATCGCCGATGCGACTCGTCGTTTCGACCCGGGGCTCTCCTGCCTCGGCGCACCCCAGGGGGGGGTGGCTCTGGCCTGCAGTCGGGCATATCCCCCTACAGTTATGTCGGGCGTGTCCCCCTACAGGGGGATTTTCGACGAAAAATTAGAAATACCCCCCAAATAGTCCAAACATATTTTTAAAAATGCTCAAAAATTAGTCCCCAGATCATTTTTGGATTATGTTTGGATTAGTTGTGTGTTTTCTCTTATTTTCGTTAAAGAAATCCCCCTGTAGGGGGACAGGCCCGACTTAGTTCTACAGGGGGAATCTTAAAACTTAGTTTGAAAAGATAGCCTGGGGACGATTTTTGTTGAGTATGTCTTGACTCTTGTCACGTGTTATCTGTATATGATTTATTCTTCGCCAGAACCCGCCTGTAGGGGGACATGCCCGACCTGAACCTAGCACATTTGCATCTGGCACCCGGCACTTGCTCGTTTTGGGGCCAATTGGCCTCGACGTAGCGAGGCCGGGAACCGATGAGGACCTGCTCTCCCTGGAGAAGCCTCGGCGAAAGCTTCCGCAAGATATCGCTTTCTCTTCGATCCGTCTTGGGCACTGCCGGGGCCGTCGGGGCCATAGGGGCCTGGCGGCTCTGGCCGAGTCCTCCCCCCGTCGGCGGCGGCGGAAGAGGCACGCGGCCGCTCTCCGGAGCCTTCCGCGCGGCGAGGCCCTGAGAGGCGAGGCCGCGCGGCGTCGTGCACGGTGCGGAGTCCTGTTTGGGGCGGGTTTCCCCGAGCAGCTTGCTTGTGAGTCAGGGTAGGAAGAGGTACACTCCTCCCTCCTCCCTCCTCCTCCCTCCTCCTCCTCCTCCTCCTCCTCCGCCTCCTCCTCCTCCTCTTTCGCCCCTGTGGGCCTCCTGGGAGGTCCACATGGTTCATTCCCAATTATTTGAAAGTTCTTTGATTTTCTGGGGGGCGGCCAAGGTCCTTTCATTTCTAATTGTTCTGTCCTGGGCCTCTTCCTGGCCACTAGGGGGCCAGGAGCAATTAGAAACGAGCACAATTAGAAACGAGCACGATTAGAAATGAACGACGTGTACGTATCTGGAATCCATACCGCTGGATCCGCCTCGACATCCTGGTCAGAGCGCACCCCGGGAGAGGTCCGGGGGGTCCCCGCCATGGGGTGCGGAGTCCTGGCGCGGATTTCGGAGTTCTGCCTGTGAGGGTTCTGCCAGGAAGCTGGATGCACACGACGCGGCTGGCCTGGGCGGGAGCTGGATGCACATGTGGCCGCACGTCTTTTCAGCGCCCGGTTCTCGAGTGGCCAAGCACGGGATGCTCCACGTGTGCGTCCAGTGGCCTCCGCATGTTCCCCATCTGATTCCAGGCATGTGTTTTTCCGGCTTCCTGGTGTACGCTGTTTCCGATGCCCTGTGAGGCATGCGGGGCCCCTAGCTGGCATCAGGGGGAACCGTTGTCCCACACTGGTTGCCTCTTTACTGGGGGAACGGGCCCGGATTCGGGCGACGTCAATTGACCACCACACTGACCCTGGCCGGGCCCAGCCTGGGCCTGGGATCGGCGAGAGGAGAATCAGGAGGAGGATCCGGAGTGAGGAGAGGAGGAGGAGGAGGAGGAGGAGGAGAAGGAGGAGGAGGATGCAAGAGGAGGAGGAGGAGGAGGAGGGAGGAGAAGGAGGAGGAGGAGGGGAGGAGGAGGGCGGAGGAGGAGGAGGAGGAGGAGGAGGAGGAGGAGGAGGCAGGAGCCGAGGAGGGGATGCAGGAGGAGGAGGAGGAGGAGGAGGAGGAAGCGGAGGAACGGAGGAGGAGGAGGAGGAGGAGGAGGAGCTTTTTCCCGAGCTCTTTCGAGCCGCCACGTCGTGGCACGCCCGCGTGGGCGCGCGGTCGGCGCGCGCGCGCGAGTCAGCGCTGTCCCCAGCGCCGCTCGGCCCACCTCGGCCCCCTCCTCTCAGGCGGCTCCGCGGCCGTGCCCTTCTGCTGCGGGGCGGGGAGGACCACCTCTTCTGCCATCAGCTCCGTGTCGCGTGGTCCTCTGGTCCCGCCTCGCGAGCCGCTCTCCTCCGTCCAGCAGCCGACGGAGCTCGCCCAGCGCCAAGAGCGGGCCGACGGCCGCCGCTCTGGTCGGCCTGGCCTCGGGCGGCGGGCGAGCAGCTCTCCTCCTCTCCGCCTCCAGCAGCGCTCGCGAGGCCTCGCGTTGCGCTGCCTCCTCCTCAGCCGTGTCCTCTGCGGCTGCTGGGTGCGCTGGAGTCGGTGCTGGCGTCGGTGCTGGAGCGGCAGCGGCAGTCGCGTCCAGAAGCCTCCTCACTACTGGTTCCTCGTCTCTGCGTCGTTCGCTTTCTGACCTCTCGGGTCTCCTCTCTGGGGAGGGGTCAGGCTCGGCGGCGCCTCGCGTCCTCGCTGCAGCCTCCTCCTTCTCCGCGCCCTGCGCCTGGCCAGCTCGGCCCTCTCCCCATTATCCCGCCTCGCGGGGCCCCTGGCCACACCTGGGGCGTTCAGAGGTGGGGGAAGGCCTGGCTCGCCTGCCTCAGCCTCTGCCTCTGCACTCGCAGCGTCGCCTCGGCACTTCACCCGCAAGCGACGGGGTGGCTCTTCCTGTTTGTTCCGCCAGGAAGCACCACTTGTGCCCCCCCGCCGCGTCGACCTCCGTGCTCTGGCTGCTGCTGGCCGCCTCCTGCTCCTCTGCTTGGGGCTCCTCCTCGGTGCTGTCCTCGGCGGGCATGTCGCAAGTGCCTCTCTCGCAGACCGCTTGCTTCAGCCAGCACTGGAGCCTGTAGTGCCCGCTGTCGCACGCCGTGTGTCCGCAGCAGGGCTCCTGCAGCTCCTTGGCGATCAGCTCTGTGGTGGCGCCTCCGCAGTTCTCGCAGAACCATCGGTTGTGCCTCCTGAGCCGCCTCAGCTTGTGCGTGGGGTGCGACTCGACTCCGTACTTTGTGACCGTGAGTGCCGTCGGGGGCGGAGGTCCGCTGCAGGTCTGCGTCAGCCATCCATGTATGGTCTTCGCCGTGGCAGTGCTGCTGACCGACTCCCAGCAGCAGAGGCATGTCCAGCCTGTGCCCCGACGGTCCCGCTTCAAGACGTGCTGTGAAGCGGGAGGAGGAGGAGGAGGAGGTGGAGGAGGAGGAGGAGGAGGCGGAGGATGGAGGAGGAGGAGGAGGAGGAGGAGGAGGAGGAGGAGGAGGAGGAGGAGGAGGAGGAGAGGAGGAGGAGGAGGAGGAGGAGGGAGGAGGAGGAGGCGAAGGATTAATGCAACGTTTGGACGACCTTTCTGGAGGAGGAGGAGGAGGAGGAGGGAGGAGGAGGAGGCGAAGGATTAATGCAACGTTTGGACGACCTTTCTGCCCGTCAGGACTCAGGACTCAGGAGGAGGAGGAGGAAGAGAATTTGTTTTCCTCACACGCGTTTGCTTACAAGACCGTCTGGCGTGTTGTCGCTGGCACAAGCGAAAACTGCTGTGAGATGAGGATGCTTCTGTTCAGCTGGATGTTGGCTGTTAGCCGAGGTGGCTCGGAAGATTAGATGTCCCTCGAAGTTGCGATGCAAATCGTCAGATACAGTCCAAAGACTTCAGTTTGGTGCGGGTGCAGCTGCCGGACAAACCGGACTTAAGAGGGAGTAGCGCCAGCCCAGAAGGCAGGGCAAGAAGAAACAGCGAAGCCGGTGAGTCGACAAAGAGGGGGGAAGGGGCAAGAGGGGGGGAGCCCAGTCGGCGGGGAAGTTGGGAGGGCGACGAGTACCTCGCCCGACGGTTCAGCTATGGACTGGGCTCCAAGAAAGGAGCCCGATTCCTGCTGCAGTAGTGCCTGCTGGCATCTGGGGCAATCCCCGCATCTACCAACGCAAGGACCGCATTGCATATGCCGTCTGCGTGGGCATTGGACTCACGGGGTACACATGGCACACTTCCATTGCGTCCACGCCGGGTATAGACCGCAGAGTCGACAGAAGCTCCGAACCTTGTTCGTTGGCTGCTTTCAGATCTGCCGACAGGCACCGCCACTCACAAGAGAGCTGCCGCGCGACAAGCAGAGAGTCCACTTGGAACAGCACGCGTCGCGCGGGGTGCTGTAGCGCGTGGCGGACTGCAAGGTGGACCCCAGCATATTCCGCAGAATTGTTTGTGGCGTCACCTAGAAAACTGCCGCATGAGGCAGCGACGCGCCGCGTGCCCACCTGGCAACGCACGCAGCCGCAGGATGAAGCGCGACCGCCTGCACCACCTTGACCTCTGTCGGGTCAGACGAAAGGGGGGGATTGGGAAAGGGGGGACTACGAAATCTGCTGCATGCAGCTAGTTTCGGCCCCACCGAGGGGCCCATTCCTCGATACATAGCCGCCTCCGGCGCCAGGAGGCGCCGGGAAAATCAGCTACGTGAGCTGATTCTCAAACCCACCCTTTGCTATCCCCCCTTTCGCCCGGCCCGACTTTGGCTGCGCCATCGGAGGCATAAGTGGCCCAGCCCTCACGGATGGTTGGCAGCTGGCGGGCGCGCATGGTACGTCGTTCAACTCGTGACGTGTTTGTCGAGCTGCCCATTATCCACGGGTCGTCAGAGAGACGGCGCGCGTGTGTAAACATATCTCCCATGCAATGAACGGAGGAGGAGGAGGAGGAGGAGGAGGAGGAGGAGGAGGAGGGAGCAGGAAGCAGGAGGGTGAGGAGGAGGAGGAGGAGAGGAGGAGGAGAAGGAGGAGAGGAGCAGCAGAGGGGTGAGAGGAGCAGGAGGAGGACGAGGAGGAGGAGGAGGCAGGAGGAGGAGGGGGAGGACGAGGATGAGGAGGAGGACGAGCAGGAGGAGGGAGGGAGCGAGGCCTCGGGGGGGGGGGGGGGGGGCGGCGCGGGCCCAACCCCCAGCCTCTCGCCGGCCCCCCCCCCCCCGCGCTGGGCGAGGGCCGCCGCCGCTCCGCGCCGAGCGGACGGAGGGCGATCTCTGACGACGACGACGACGACGACGACGACGACGACGACGACGACGACGACGACGACCACGACGAGGGCGACGACGACGAGGGCGACGACGGCGACGACGACGGCGACGACGACGACGACGAGGGCGACGAGGGCGACGACGACGACGAAGGCGAAGACGAAGGCGACGACGACGACGACGACGACGACGACGACGACGACGACGACGACGACGACGGCGACGACGACGGCGACGACGACGGCGACGACGACGACGACGACGACGACGAGGGCGACGAGGGCGACGAGGGCGACGACAAGCGACGACGAGGTCCACGAGGGCGATGACGACGACAAACGGGCTGCGGATGACGGACGAGGGACGCCGGACGCCGCACGATGGATGGACGGCGGACGACGACGGACGACGACGGCTGGCGACGGCCAGTGACGGCGACGATGGCGACGGCGATGGTGGCAACGGGCGGCGACGGTGACTCGGGCGGGCTCAGGACAGGGATTAACCCCTCCACGCAGGGCGTGCCAGAACGCTCCCAGAGCGCTCTGGAGCAGACGCGTCGCCCGATAGATCCTCCAGAGCCACCGGATTCCAGCTACCTCCCAGTCACCCTGGTCCGCTTTTGCGCCTGTCCTGGCCTCGTCTTAGCGTGGCGGCGCGCCCAGGGGCAAGTGCGCGGGGGGTTGCGGGAGAGGAGGAGGAGGAAGAGGAGGAGGAGGAGGAGGGGCAGGCCTTCTCGGGATGCCCCTGCGCCGTCTGAGAAGTTTCCTGCGTCATCGGGAACGGCTTCGAAAACTTCTCAGAAGGCTGGAGGCCTTCTGAGCATTCTGAGAAGGCCCGCCACCTCTCACTTCCCACCCGGTCGCGCCGCTTACCAGTGGC